TCCTGGTTCGGAGACATGGCTTCTTAAAGCTTATGAATCAGGGGTCTACACCATGTAATCTAGGGGCGCCCAAAAATTACCTCTACTATTCAGGGGGCTCCGTATCATGATTCTAGTATGATATTCCCCGAACCCTATTCTAATTATTATGAAGGCCTCTATATTATAGTACCCTTATAGGTCCCTTATACTATTCCTTAAAGGAACCATTTAAAGGAACCCTATCCTAATTATTTGCACTATATGTGCCCCGCAGAGTCAGAGCACCTTGGATTGGGCTACGGCCAAGGTGACCAGCAAGCTTTTCGCCTGTGCAAGGTGGGCTGCCCGAGAGTAGGCACAATGATTGCTTTGGGGATGGGAGGGCCATGAAACAATACCGCAGGAATATTTGGGGTTTTAGGGTTTTAGGGTTTAGGGTTTTAGGGTTTAGGGTTTAGGGTTAATCACAATAATATCCACAATAGTAACAAACACGAAAACACAAACAACAATACTACTACGAATTCGTAATTTGTTATTACAAGGTCGGTTGAACCCTAAACCCGGCAGCTGAAAGTTCTTCCGCGGCCTGAGCCAGGCCGGTTGTACGAGGTCTCTTGACTTGTCGTTTCCATACGGCCATTCGGGAACCTGCGCCGCTGAACCTATCAAACGACTGCAGTCTCCCAGCGGAAGATTCCTGCGATTCTATGTCGATTCCTGATGTAGCAACTACTAAGACCGTGCATCACGGACTCACTTGACTCTACTCTAGGATTCTCTGAAGCAGACCCACTTCTAATCTTTATTCTTTTAATATTCCCACGGAGTTATAGTATACAGAGTATCGCCCTTCTCATCAGGGCCTTCTATACAAACTCTTCGGGATCACAGCTTCTCAGGCAATGTACATACGAGCAAACCTGCCTGGGTCCAGTGCGTTTTTCAGTGCCGCAAGTCTTCCATGTTGTTCCTCGATCCAGTTCTGCGTCTCTCAACACAGAAATGAACATGTGTTAGTGATGGAGCATTGGGGATTTCCATAGTTACGATTACTTCTGGGGAGTTTGGCATGTGCTTCATTGTGTGCCCGCAACGGCATCGCCTCGTAAGAATCGCGCATTCATTACTCATAACGATCAATCGGACCACCCCTTAATCAGCAGAGCCCGAATCGTTCCTGATCCCGTGTACGCTAAAGCCTTAAGCTCAGAATTCCTCGAGTGAACGGAGCGGAGGGATACAAGTAAGGTCATAAGAACCCTTCTGGCTTTAAGTAATTACAACTGTAGTTACCTGAGAACCTCAGTTGCAAGGTTTCATGATTTTAGGCACACGCCGAAACTCTGGACCAGAGGCTAAGTCTTGAGCCTGGACCGAGGATGACTTTGGTACGGTTCCTGTTCCTGGTGCTGGCTGTGAGTTGCGTGGGTGCGGCCGGAAGCCCGGAATCAAGGCTTTCCAGGTTTAATGTTTTTCGCTGCAGGGCCTTAGTATGCTTTAGTTGTTGGATTCTCACAGGGGTGCAAGGCTGACCTTCTGTCAGCGGGTGCGGCGCAGTCCGTCGATGGGACAGGACTGATGCCCACTTTCATGTATCTTTGTGTCGAGGTTGCTGTGCTTTTCGAAGAGTCCCCACTCTGGTGGAGGTTGAATCAATCGGAAATTTCCCGTCGACTTGACGATGTTCAGAGGAAGCAGTTCCGGGTGTGGTTCAGGGAATTGGGTTTAGGGGTGGGTTCAGTGCTTCCGTGCACCCTAGATTGAGCCACAACACAAGGCCTAAGCGATAAACCGTGCAGAGCGAGACGTGTTGTGATATTGCAATTAGAAACCGAGAAGCTGCGACGAAACCTGCTTGGTGTAAGGAATTAGAGATGAGTGCGACATTCCTCCATGTTCAGGCTGTTTAAGGTTGGGAACGGTTAGGGCTTGTGAGGGTCCCACGGCTTAGGATTCAGAGTCTAGCAGGTTTGAGGCTTTCGGCATCAGGCTTACATAGGGCATCTCACAGCCTAGGTTGTAGCGATTTGCGACTTTGTGCTGCTGCGCCACGACCACTTCAAGATCACTTTCCTGCGGCAGCTCAGCACGGATGCGGTTTTGGAGGGAGAATCATTTGGAGATTCGTGGGTCACGATACAAGCTGATGCCAAGTCCTTGTTTAGGGTTTTAGGTTCAGGGCCCCAATTTTGAAGCCATGAAATAATTCTTTGAACCTTAAAATCGAAGCCCTCAAATCCTTAAAGCCACAAGCCACTAAAGTTCTGCGTCGATGCAGCCATCCTTCGCTTGGGTAGACTTCCTTCGGCCTTCGGTTTGGTGGGAAGCAGCTACCCTATGTTACTGGCGCCCAACATCAGGAGACAAAAAGACACCCCAAAATGAGCATCTGGGTAGGAGATCCCTACCTTATTTCTTGGTTTACAACGGGGTCGTGGCATATCCTGACCGTATGGTGTTTGTTAAGGTGTCTGTTGGGGTCCTGACCAACGGGTCTACTGCATTAATTGTTAAAGTAATTCGTTGCATCGGTTTAGAATCAAGATTCATGAGTGCCAGCTACCCGTGCCCCGTGACCACTACATCCCGTGCTTCGGGGTTCTTGGCATGGAATCTGTGCCAATAGGGGTGGAGAAACACTTCGGAAGAAGAAGCCAAAACCTTCAACCAAGCATTCCGAACCCCAAGCCCTAAACCTTAAACCCTTACCCTAAATCCAGCAGCTCACGAGGGCCACAGAAGCCGGTGAACACCGATCGCCAAACCCAAATCCGTGAACCCCAAATGCAAAAATGACATCCCCAGCCTGAATCCCCGAACGCCTCCTCTTGTCACACTGATAATTAAGTTGGGTTTAGGGTTTGGGAGCTATACTGCGTGTTAAGGGTTCGGAACAAGAACTGAGAAGGTATAACTTAGAAGGGGCCCCCACCCTGTAATAGTGGTATAATAGGAATATAATAGGGCTCTAATATAATCCTTCTAGTCACTATTACAGGGTGGGGGCAGCTTCTAAGGTATAACGATCAGTACTACGGCGGTGATTACTGCTAGTATTATGGGTAATAAGGCTCTGAGTTACTGTTACTTGCTACGTACATGTGTATATATATATATATATATATATCAAGAACATGACCCCCAATATAGTAAGTAGGGTTCTTATGGGTGGTTGTCAAAATTATGCCCCCTAAGGTATAACTTTGCGCAAGACCTGATCGGCCTCTTAACTGCGGCGGAGATTGTCGTCATGAACGGCAGCGGGCTCAAACTCTCCCAAGAAGGCTTTGATGAAACAGGGCATAGGGGGATTTAGGGTTTAGCGTTTAGGATATCTAGGGTTTGGGTTTATATGGTTTAGGGTTTAGGGAGCCAAACAACTAAACCACCCGTAGAAGCTCAGGAATCTGTATGGAAGGTTTCTGGGTTATGCTACTTTCAGGGCCGTTTTCAGGTTCAGGAAACACCATGCGCTGTACTGCTGGGGCCTCTACAAGCCGAATGAAGCAGTTGATGGGCTTTCGGAAGACAAGGCGTGTTGTTCGGGTTTTAAGTTCATGATTGTTTAATCTAGTGTCCCAAAGGGTCCAAGTATCATTATGGTAAATACTTAGACCCCCAAAATACCCTATAAGTATATACCATAATGATACTTGGACCCTTCGGGCCCTTCGGGTGTAGGGCTGAGCTTGAAGAGTCACAGTCACACAATCCAAGGGTAAAAGGAGGGACCCTTAATAAGGACCCCTAGGTATATACCCTTAATATAGCTATTATATACCCATTATATAGCCCATTACAGGGTAGGGATTTGGGTTTACGGTTTAGGGTTTAGGATTGGTCGTCTCAGTCTCAAGACTCGAGCTACTGCCAGAGTCTATCAGCTCTTGGGGTTTAGGGTTTAGGGCTGCTCTTTCGGTGCCCCTGCCCGCAACCTGAAACACCGGTTTAGAACACTACTCTAAAGCATCTTCACGAGGTTTTTGCACGGGTGAAGCCCCTATGGTACCCTTGTTAAAGGAACACGTACAGGAAGCCTTAAACGAGCCCCCACACACACGAAAACGCGGATCCTAAGCCCCGTTCTGAACATGTCGGTGAGAACTTCTGAGGCATCCTCAAGAGAGCTTCATTGTTTCTCACGCGGCTTGAGAAGCACAGAAGCCGCATCGAATTCGTGCGAGCTCATTACCTCAAGGCCCCGAGTCTGGGGTCCAGTTCGGGGTCTATAGGATCAGAAAGGTTTTCGTCGGGTTCAAGGTTTCACGTCTTGTTTGGGGTTTGGGGCTGCTTTGAGAACTCCTTAAACCCTAAACCCTAAACCGCTAAACCCCAAACCCTAAACCCTAAACTTCGCGATGGATTCAGGGTTCCTCAATTCCCTAAGGGTCCATGTACCCAAATAGTATATACTTTGGGCCCAATGTACCCATATAGGGAGTACTTCAAGGTCAATGTATATACTATTTAGGCACATGGTCCCTTAGGCATTTGTCGTCGAACTGGGACTTCGGAGCCTGCTCCGACTATCTGGGCCGAGGCCCTCGGGTGGAGAAGACAGCATTCTTCTGCCTGAAAATGGCTGGTTGTCAAAATGATGGTCCCTTTTTGGGTCCCTATTATAATACGGCACCTATTTGTTAGAGCACCCAAAAAGGGGCCCCATTTTTGACAACTGCCCAAATCGACATCGTGTTCGCCCTTATTTGGTTGAAAACCTTGAAATCTGGTAGTACTTGTAGCTTCGAATCGCTCGCAGAGGGCAAGAGTCTATACCCGTAAGGCAGCTCAAACCATGTGGCGACAAAGGAGTGACTCTAACTTTTGCGGTCCGGCACAACGAAGTAGTAGTTTGTTATGCTGTACATTACATCATCCATATTGGATTCTGTTAATCATCGTGATGGCCTGTCCGCTCGCCTCGAGCACTCGAACATGCTTAAGCCATACATCACAATCGGGTCAGAGCTGTTCATCCTTACAAACTGCTCCGGTTTCCGACACAACTCAAGGGCTCAACACACATAGCCGTCGCAGGGGATTTCATACTCCTCCTTGATGCACTCGTCAGGGCAGCATCAATAAATCCTGCGACCCCCGTTTTGTGCACAGCAACGACAAAGAGATAGGGCTTGTGTCCTTCCAGCGTTCCGTAATCCCCAACATTCTGGGAAAATGTGGAGATGATCTCTCCCAGGAACATTGATGAAAGGCCCTTCAAAGGTAACCATCCTCGCTGGCGGTTCGGAATGAACCCTCTCAAACGCTGGAGTAGCCTGCACAGCCTGATCCCGCGTTCTTGGTTCACTGGGCATAGTCGACGAAGAAGCCGTAGCCGTGGTTGGCAATGTAGGTGTTGGGGAAGTACCAGGGGGCATTGTTTCTTCAAAGCGCTCTCGTAGTTCCAGGAGCCTAACCTTTTGGTCAGAAGTCAGCTGCTCTGGCTTCAGAGCCAACATACGCTGTAGCTCCTTCAACTCCGTTTTCGTCAGCTTCTTTTTCGCTATCATCTTGTTTGCCTTTGTTCGCAAAGCTTTGAGTCGAGCTTCCCGGCCTCGCATGCACTGCTTAAAGCCTTCCCATAAGCCGATCACTGCGATGCTCAACACAATCACCGCTAAGTAGAGGTCCCAGGGAACTTCGGTCTTTATTCCCTCTTTCTCAGCTGCCGCACCACATATCTGGCACAGTAGCAACAACCTTGTGCACCACGAAGGTTCCTGCGCGTTTGCGGTTTTTATGCTCTTCTCATCCTTCTTCCGGTCGTTAAGGTTCCATAGCAAAGCCAACTGCTTCAACCTTTCTTTCGGCAAAGGTTTGGTACCTATGTCGGCTCGTTGAGATAGTCCCGGTTCGTGTCGGACATGAACTTCATGAGCATTGACCTTTTCTTTTATCCATGCCGATCTCAATCTCAAATGCCTCGTGCGCCAACTTCCGGTACTTCCGGTTAGAAGAGAGATCGCGGCCTGATTGTCCAGGTGCAGGTAGATGCCCTTATCGTAACCGCTCACTTCCTGGATAAGGCCGATAGTTGACATAGCCAATTGGCAACCATCAATTCCTTCAAGCAACTCTGATTCCGCCGTACTCAACGTCACCAGTTGTTGTCGCGAGGATCGCCAAGAAATTGCCGAGGAACCATAAAATATTCCCACTGACCCATGAGATCTTCCGGAACTTGGGCTGAATGAACTGTCAGTGTATGCTCTGAGCTCAGGTTCAACACCATCGTCAAAGAACCCAAGTCTATACCCTATGGTCTCCGCCAAGTAGTCCAGCAGCCTCATCCCAATCTTATTGACCAGGTCTGGACACCTCGTCAAACGGGATGACATTATAGAAGTGACGTACTGGATATCGGGTCGAGTTCTTCCACATAGCCAGAGCATTTCACCAACCCATCGTTGAGCTTCTTTCACTTGCTGTTCTTGTCCCGACAAATCCATCTTTTCCGAACTCAACAAAGCTTCCTCCTCCTCAACCGTGAGAAGCAAAGTCTCTCGGGAACCCTGTGATCGCGATGAACTTCCGGTATGGCCATGAGCCCTTAGAAGCTCTCTTATGAAGCCTTCCTGAGAAAGCTCCACGCCATCAACAGTCTTATGCAGCTCCATACCCAAAAACCTTATGGGATGATCATATTCAAGAACATCAAGATCGTCACATTCCCATTGATCTGAAACCCACTTGAACATGGAATGCATGACTCCCTCCTCAGCCATAATCATCAGGTCGTCGATGTAGACCATGACGTAACCCAAGGCCTCGGTGTTGCCGTTGGTCCTGACAATTTTCCATATCTGATCATCGGAAACGAGTTGTTGAAGCTTCACCTCTGTGGCGACCCCGTCAATGTCCACAAACCACCTCGCAGCCCGAAGTTGTTGGTCTCTATAAGCCGCCCATAGAGCTGGGGACTCACGCAACCCGTAGAGAGCCTGAAGGACATACCAGACGTCCCCTGGCTCTGCCAGCTGCAAGTCAAACGCGATCTGTGGGGGTATAAGCGCCACCGATCTTCCCCTCCACGGAGCAAGAACAAAAGCTTGTCGTATATCGGTCGTGCCAATCTTCCATTTTTTCTTTCTTGAGGAGTACGATAACATTATCCTGAACGAAGTGGCATCCAAGCCTGCAGCGTAGAGTTCGCTGTGATCACCATCTCCCGGAGCATGATTTCCACAGGCCACAAAACGTGTTTTTCTTCTGTAACCCGCAGGGCTTTTGTCCGGTTTAATAGTGAAAACTCCCTTGCAAGGTAGTAGGAGGCAATCGTCTGGTAGGCCACTTCTCTTTCTGACTTCGAAAGCCTTCTTGGAGTCCTTGAGGTTCACGTACTCCTTGGAAGCCGAAGGGGCCCATGCCTTAAGATTCTTTCTCACATCGCTCAGCGAAACAGTATGAGTCACTTCCAAAGGCTTGCCATCCTTTTTGAGGCTCGACAGAATCTCCTCAATGCCATGGGTGTACTGAACCTCTGCCTTTTTCAGGGTCCTTGTCATTGTAGGGCTCACTGTAGTAGGCGCACATCCACCGGTTTTTGACATAGTAGTCGCAAAGGAACTGTGCTCGTCAACCTCAATGAAGGCAATCTGCTCATGTTCAACGGCATTCATCATTTTGATGTTGACGTCGAAGGGAGGGTCAGTAGAGCTTTCGTTGTTGTCCTCCTCCTCATCAGAGTCCCCCTTGATCACTTCATCCATTGGAAAACCATGATCTTTTAGATCTTGCACATCGCTTTCAACGAGCTTCGTTGCCCTCGGTGTGTACATAAGCATCACCACTCGGTCGCCCTGCCATTCCTGAACTTGGTGCCATTTGCGGGGATCAAACTCAAACTTCTCTTCGAACTTCAGGTCGTAGACTTTCCCAGAAACCTCCTGGCCATTGGGTAGGCTTTTGGCAACCATTCCATCTTGTTCTAGCTCGTCACCTTGCACCCATATTCCTCCACCAGAAAACTCAGAAAGAGGAACCACCATGTTCACAGAGGACTTGGAGTTGTGTATGTCTCGATGCAGGCCTAGGTCTGCATTCCTGGCAATTCCAAGAGCACTAAAGGGCACTCCTTCTGCAAACTTCTTGCCAAACTCAACAAGGAACTTGGTGGTGAAGGGATACGATCTGAGGTTCATTCTTGTACCCGCCAAACCACCATGAACGAATGCCCCAGTAAACCATGAAGTAGTCGATGTCTTCTTACCGAGGCGCAGGTCCGTGTCCCCAAGTTCTTCAAGTCGCTCGTAGATTTGCAAAACATCCTGCGTCGTAGTTGCCCCTTCTTCGAGTTTTTTCCTTGCCAGAAACTCAATTTCCCGCTTCAGCTCAGACCTGGTTTGAGGTGATCCACATACATCATCACCTTCTCGAAGTCCATCAGCCTCAGCAGGTGATAAGAGGTCTGGGAGCTCATCCTTGGGGTTGATCACATTGAACTTGACGCTTTTAGCAATGGTCAAACCACCATCTTCTCTCAGTATCAGATGTCCTCTGCTCACATCCATCGCTGGTCCCCGGTACCATCCTCGTTTCCAACGGTCACCTGCAGCTTCATGCTTCTTCTCTTCCTTCCCCTTGTAAGCTTTTGCTCGAAACCAAACTTCACTTCCAAAAGGGCATGCTGGTTGTCTGGTCCATGGGGAAGATGGGAAAGCCTTCGCCTTCGCCCACAGAGAAGCAGATGCATGTGATATCGCCATAGGCCAATCTTGTGCTCCTGCGCCCGCCCGCTTGATGAGAGCACGAACACGGCCCTTAGCCCACTTTACACCCACCTCCGCGGTACTGTTGGCGGCGGGATCGGCTTCTGCTGTGCGCGTATGTCGCAACTTTTCATCAGCAGTCCATGTGCGGAAGGCAGCAGTCTTGAACTCCCGGGCCCTGTCCGTATGTATTGCTTCAACATGGAGCCCGCATTGACGTAGCTGGAGAAGGATTTCTTTTGCCGCTTGTAGTGCATGAGGTCCGGTTCGCCTTCTCAAACTTCTGGTAATGTAGATTGTGGAGTGTTCTTCGGGGGCAGCAAGCTTGTCAACCTCCTCCTCAAACTTTGAGTCTTCTCCACTTTCATCACCAGCATCCGGCGTTCCCTCACCATCACTCACAGGTTCGTCTTCCAGGGCCATCGGGTCATCAACATCACCTTCTGGTTCATCAGGAACATAGAAATCTTGATCACATTCCGGAATTGCCTTTGCACTCATGTAGCTCTTTGGGCACCGATAAGCAGCCACCATAATGTAGCGGTAGTCCTCATGATCAAGGTCTCTGCCCCGTTGACGGAAAGGACCTGCTAGGTCTAGAGCAAGGGCAAACATTTTTGGGTGTTCCCTCCTCCTGTGATGGTAACCGGTGGCCTGGGCGTTGATGCAAACCGAGCAGTCTGACCTATAAGGTTGATGATCATCAGCTAGATGTTGCTTCCACTCTTGTCTCTGCTGCTTTGTCATCTTGGAAACTTTCAACCCCATTGACTCCAAATCTTCATCAGAGAGGGTGGCGCACTCATGCATGTCGGTAATCGCCTCCAAAACCATAGCTTTGAATCCGAATGACCACGACCTCATTTCCTTCTTGTCCAAAAGAGACGGGGGAACGCATCCATCATTGAAGTCGTAGACACCTTCGAGCTGTGCGAGCGATGGGTAGTTGGTTGCTATCGTAGTGGGGCACTTCGCCCTATGACCGTAGGCGCCCATGTAGAAAGAAGCTTTGCTCATTCCCGCTATTGACTTGAAAGACTTCCAAGCTTCCGTGTGCCAAAAAGTAGCATGTTGAGGATCACATTCACGGTGCCTTTCTTCATCTGCGGGTGTTGTCAAAAGAAAACCAACAACTCCTCTATTGCTCATTGTGGCGAGGATCCACAACAACATCGGCTTCACAATCGCCGCCGTCTCCAAGTCTAGTTGTTGCTGTTGATGCTCTGGTAGTTGAGGAAGTCCATAAGGGTGATCCTTAGACCGCTTCGGGTAGGACTCTTCACCTCTCCGTGGCATTGCCGAAGTCGGCCAGGTCTGGTGAGGCGGATTGGCAACAATGTCCGTGATCCTTCCCGTAACAGCTGCCCATAGTAGAAGCCGGTAAACTCCCATTGGTGCATGGATATTCCACAACTTTGAGTTCAAAACATCAACGGTGATCATCACTTTGCCAGCCTTGGAGACCACATCCAAAGGGTTGATTGTCTCGGCGTCCTTGCCCGGGAACATGTTCACGACCCACCGATTGGAGGCCATCATCAGCTTCCTTTTCCTCCTTGTAAGTGGGAGGCCCTTCATGTACTTCAAGCCATCTTGTAATTCAAAGCCTTCCGCAAGTAGGGAGTGAACCTCAAAAGGGAGATCCTTCGTGAAGGGACAGATCTGCACCGCTTTCAACAGCTCCGTCTTTTCTCCATTCGTAGAGTAGTCCTTGAAAATCTGGACCCAATCCCTCTTTTCTTCGCTCCTCAGCATCTCCAGCCTCGCCGTCAAGGTGTCGACATTGTCCTTCAAGGTGGTGAGCTGTTTCTCCTCTATCTCCCGGATGAGCTTCCTAGCATCACGCGACGACACTTCTGGGCATCTGTTGGTAACATTCACCTTAACCGTGCCACGCGTCGGGTGATGAAGCCGTAGGTGACCTGGACGCCAAGTCAGCGTATAGCCTAGGTCCTCGATGACAGCTCCGAGTGGCACTATAGGTTGCACACGTCCAGGTCCTTCTTCTGGTACCAACACTGTGCCGCATTGATTCTGTCTCAAAACCTTCGTGTCTTCAACTGCAAGCGTCACCTTCACCGGCGACCCATTCTGGTACTCCTCCTGCGAAGCTGGAACCAAAGCATGGCTCGCACCGCTGTCCAGGAGTCCGCGTAGGTCTGAACCATAACTCTCCTCCACAACCTTTTTCATCGGCTCAGGAGTGATGACAGTCTTGTCCTCATGGATCACCAGCATCTTCGCCGTGGCTGTAGAGGTCATAGCTTTAAGCATCTTACCCACATCCGCCAAAACTTCCTTCAGGTCCGGCATCTGTTCCCCATCACCACTTGTAGTAGATGAAGAAGTCCTCGCTGGAATTGGCTCCACTTGTGGGTTCTCATCAATCCTCACGTTTTTGTTGGAAGTAGAACTCGCGGGTGGTTGTTGAGGTGGTGCTTTATTCGTTGGAGGTCTCGTTGGAGTAGTAGCAGTAGGCGAATCTCCGGCTGGGGGCTTCTTGTACGGGCAATCTTTCACTGCATGGTTCTTCCCGCCACATCCAAGACAGCGCCCGTTTTTATCCAAACCTTCCCACGAATGTTGGAATGGACACCGGGAACCCCTGGCACATCCTTTGTAAGTCCTGCCGAAGAACTTACATGGGACCTTCGACTTATCCTCCAGCGACTTGTCCCCAGCATCCATATCGGACCTCGTAGTAGACTGCGAAGAAGATCTCGTGGGAGTAGGCGGTGGAGGTGGCACCGGCGGATTCGGTTGATTCCCTTTGTCGGTCCTCATGGGCTTCACCTTTGCTTCAGGTCTGCTGGTAGTAGGTGTCGTAGGAATCGCTAGGGCGGCCGAGGTCACCGCTAGGGCTTCACACTCTGCCAACAGGTGCTTGTAGTAGCTATCCACGCTTTCTGCTGTCGGCCTTGTGTCTACCATCAAGGTTGACTTCACGAGGTTGGAGCGGAAGAGGGCTTCTGGGTTTCGGTCTAAGAGAGCTTTCACCATGGAGTTCAACCCTCGTGTTAGGAGGGCTGGATCAGGCGCTGCTACCGCTAGCTCTCTGCACCTCCTCAGCCATCTGTCCCAGTTTCTCAAGGCCTCTAAAACTTTCTGTGGATCTTGTTCTTGGGGTGGCTCTTGTAGGTTCTTCAAGATCCTGACCTTCTCCTCTTCGCCTCCCGGTTGATAGAGGGTCATCAACCGAAACAGCAAGGAGACTGTGCTCCCTGTCAAACGCCTTGCAACCATCTCTGACTTGACATTGTCCGGGACCGCTGTCATTATCATGCTCGCCGCGAGAGTTGACCCTGGACCATTTGCCAGATTCCAGCGGCTCCAACGTTGGGGGAACCACTTTCAATCTCTCCAACGGGCTCGAGGATGACAATTCTGCATAGCTTTTTGCCGCTTCTTGCTTCACACGGTACCACCAAACAGCGCTTCCGTCGCTCAGATCAGACATGGGGACTGCTAGCATCTCCAACCAGTCCATGATATCGACCGACGAAGTTTCTGGTTTGACAGGAACCAGCGTAGGAAGCGTTGCCGTCCCAGGTTTGACGGATTCCGGACTTGCCTCACCATCCTTGTCCCTTGACTGCTCCGCCGTCATCTGCTTCAACATCACAGCCTGTAGTTGCGCCATTCCACCCGCTAACAAAGTCATTGGGTCTGGCGTCCCTGGTTCTCCTAGCCATTGCGCTGGCTTCCCAGTTGTAGTAGACGACGAAGGAAGACGACCTTGATCTTCGTTGGAACCATTAGCTCTGTTCGAACTTTCTGAAAACGGCATGGGACCCTGGGTCTTCGCACTCACGTCCTGTCCTTCATCAAAACGGACCCCACCGACCTCACGGCTAGGCATCGAATCTAACGGACCACTCTGCTGAAGGTGAAGATTCCCTCGAGAACTGCCGGGATTTCCTTGAGGTAGAAAAGGATCACCTGGAGGTACTCTGGGGCCCTCCTGCGGAACCTGAGGATTACCTCGAACATTGCATGAACCTCCTTGGACTGTATCAGGATCACTTCGACGCTCTGGATTTTCTTTCCGAAGCTGTTGGGAAGGTACACGTGGAGTGGGCACACTTCCTTGACTAAGGGCTGGTTCATCTCTCCCAACTCTAGAAAACTCCTGCTGAAGGTGAAGATTCCCTTGAGAACTGCCGGGATTTCCTGGAAGGAGAAAAGGATCACTTGGAGGTACTCTCGGGCCTTCTTGCTGAGGTGGAAGTTCACTAGGTAACCCTCCATCAAGTACCTGACGATGAGGTTGAGCTCCTTGCCAGGGCATATTTACTCTCATCTCCAGGGCACTCTTTTCCTCACGTAATCTAGCCACTTCTCCATATAGTGCCTTCATTTCCTCCTTGTACTTCAGGGTGTACTCCTCAAGTTGCTTCTGGACTTCAGCTTGTAATCTGGAAGAATGATCTGATCCAACTTCTGAGGGTTGTCCATAGATCAAAGGATGTTCACGTTGAGCTTGTCGCATCTGGGTGATCTGAGCTCGGTCAAACAGTGGAGCCTCATTTCTCGCAATCTCTGTTGTCCACGATCTCGGCGGAGCTGAGATATCCATTGTCCTGGGAGGAAGCTGTTCAGGAGGAGAAGATGGCATTGGATTCTCCCCTGGTCGGCCCGTAAACACATTGACTGACCCCATACGAACTTGTTGTTGTGGGGCCGGCGGAAATCCCAGACCATCCAAAACTCTATCGACTCCTTGTACACTCCTTGTAGCCGCCGTACGCATGAACTCTGTGAACCTTCCCATCCACCTCACATTTCTCTCTTGCTGGGCACTCGTCGAAGAAGACGCAGAGTAGAACTCCTGAACGTGAACGGTTGTTGGGGGTGTAGTAGTTCTGCTTGGGGCTTCCACTCGCTGTGGTGTCACCATTGTCTCACGCGCCTCATTTCTTATAACGTTCGCGCCCGCATGCGGTTCCCCATAACAGGGTTCGGCCACGTCCGGTAAAAGCTCTGTAGAGGTCGTTGCATTCGACTCCGATGGCAGCTGAGTGGGTGGTGCAGGATCGTATACATTCGGATTCTCAACTCCACCATTGTTGCGACTCAAACCATCATCCTGGGCAGGGGCTGCTGGAGTAGTTCCATTCATCATCACATTTGCAGGTCCCATAGCTCCATAGTTCGATGAGGTAGGAGCCGCCGGAGTGCTTTCGGTAGCTTGGGCACTCATAACCTGAAAACCTTGAAATCTGGTAGTACTTGTAGCTTCGAATCGCTCGCAGAGGGCAAGAGTCTATACCCGTAAGGCAGCTCAAACCATGTGGCGACAAAGGAGTGACTCTAACTTTTGCGGTCCGGCACAACGAAGTAGTAGTTTGTTATGCTGTACATTACATCATCCATATTGGATTCTGTTAATCATCGTGATGGCCTGTCCGCTCGCCTCGAGCACTCGAACATGCTTAAGCCATACATCACAATCGGGTCAGAGCTGTTCATCTTTACAAACTGCTCCGGTTTCCGACACAACTCAAGGGCTCAACACACATAGCCGTCGCAGGGGGTTTCATATTGGTATATCGGCCAAAGCCCAGCGCTGCTCAATCGACTCTGCATTTACAACATGTCCTTATACCATAGAAGCCACAGGTTTGGATTGCTGCGCGGACGTATGGTCCGGTCAAGTGAGTGAACAGCTATGCCCTCCGCAGGCGTTCTGCCTCCAATTCATTAATTCGCCGGGGGCCCAGACAGAAAGAATTGCTCATGAGGTTCAATGTATGTGAAGGTCGATTGAACTGTTCGGTAGTGTTCACGAGCCTGACTAGTGAATCAAAGGTAGAGCACTCAAGACGCCGGCATAGGCGCATTAGGTTGTATACTACCCGGAAATCATGTGGCAGTGTACCAATATTGCGCAAAGGGAGTTGCACATTGTGTACGGATGCTTGTAATTCGTATAAACGTTCGTGTATGTGGGCACATGGTGTGCGTAGATGTGTACGGGTATATACTGATCTATGCACATGTAGGCTTACATTTGCTGTGTTAACTACTTATCTGGGTTTGTATGCGCTGATACATGGATGGATGGATGGATGGATGCAGGGATGCAGGGATGTCTGGATGACTGGACGGATGGATGGATGGATGGATGGATGGATGGATGGACAGATGGATGGATGGATGATGGATTGATGGATCGATGGATAGATGGATGGGCGGATCTATTTTGTTGTTCCTGTATAAGCATGCATGTTCACATCGATATGTACGTACGCATTCATGTAACCACCTGCGCATGTGAAAGTATGCACGTACCCTCAGAGAACGCTAACCGAAAACCCTATGCACCAACCGAGTACATGATGCAGCCTGCAGCTATTTGCCCTCAGGTGTGCATCGCTCTTCTACATAGCTTTCTATCCAGACCGCTGGCGACTGTTCGGGCCCCAATGCAGTATGTAAACGTGAGGGTTTCCGAAAATAGGGGACCCTACAAAGTAGCCTAAATAGTAGGATCCTTACTATAAGGACCCCCCAAGATAAGGTACCCCTGATTTTCGGAAACTCCCGTATGTAAATGTAAGGGTCTGTTACTCCAGGAGCTGAAATCTGAGGTGTCTCCCGCTACTTAACGACGTGGGATTCGGAGTGCCCTGTGCCGTTCTTATAGGGCTGCCAGGACAGCTTTATCCCGAATCATAGGGTGCTTCTTTAGGGGTGTTTGCGTGTGTGAATGTGTGTACGTATGTATGTCTTGTTGTATATGTGTGTGTGTATGCCGTGTATCAACATACGAATGATCAGTTGCGCTTTGCCCTCGCCCTGAACCCTAAATCCCTACCTTGCTTTCATATGGGTGGTTGTCGGTACTAGGGTCCCTTTTGGGGTCCTTATTATAATACGGCACGTAATATTTAGGGTACCCAAACAGGGACCATAATTTTGACAGCCACCCATATGTGCTTTCGTAGGACCCTGTGCCGCCAACAGAAGCCGAGTGAAAGTCCCGGCCCCTCAGGCCCATGGCTGTTCGCTACTCTTGTACATACTACGCCTGGACCCCGGTATAGGTTGTTCAGGGCTTAGAGTTAGGATTCAGGGTTTATAGGGGTTCTCGAAGGTTTCTGTAAGGGTTCCAGAAGGGTTTTCGGGTTCTAGGGCTCAGGGGAGGGTTCTCTTGCGGGATTTGAAGGTTCAGGGCCTTGTTTGGGGTGTAGGACTCGGGGATGAACATGGGGGCCTAAATTTAACTAATTACCAATACTATTTTGGTGGTAGTATACTGTGCCCTAAACCGTACAACCCCAAAGCCCTAAACCCTGAACCCTAAAACCCTAAACCCCAAAACCCTAAAACCCTAAACCGTAACTAGTAAGGTCCCTATATTACGAGCCGGAACTTCTGCAAGCCTAGCATCCAAACGATACGAAAGCCAACCTCGTCTCGAAGAAGCTCCCGACTTTCCACAGAAACGTCCTGAAGTCGTTAGGGGGTGTTGATGATTCTGAGGGTTTAGGATGTATTGCATCTTTTGCTGTAGATCGAGCTAACATCAGCAAGCGTCGATGGGAGGTGCTCATGTATCGTGCCCGAAGCATCTTGGATATCCTGGACCAAGGACACGACGGTGACGTTATTCTCTTCCATTTTCTCCACTCGCTAGCGGCGAAGCTGCTCCGGGCGCACGCTAGCGTTTTGCATGACCTTCCGCATCCTGGAGAATGCCGAAATGACAGATTGCAGTGGCGCCAAATTGCTCTTGAGTACGCCTTACAAGTTCATGTTCTGTCAGATGAAATCAGAGAGTCGATCTTATTGATGCTCCTTCCTCCTCGCGGCCAGAGCAAGGAGCATCTCCATCGTCGCTTGCAGCAAGCAGCGGGTATCACGAAGAAGCTAGAGAGGAAGTTTATGCCAACTGCACCGGAGGTAGTCTTTCTGCGGACGTCCTCCATGCCTTACCAGGATTCTTTTTCTCCTTTGACTATCTGAAGAATTTAGCATGCGCATCTTCTGAAATGAAACGCGCCGTGCAGAACCCACAGCATTGGAACGAAAGGTGCATCTCACTCAACTCAGTCGAGTTTACTGTTGGTCTGAAGCTGAGACGCATGACGCGAGCCTATATGTCCGCTCGCACCGTGTCTTTGGATCTGCGACAACTTCCTTTGCTAGGTGAGTTTCGAAACAGTATGTTGCTTGAGTGGACTGGCCGGGGCCTTCCACATCTGCGCAACCTGACAGGCTTCGAATCGGCTGGACCGTTACTGGGCACTGTTGTGTTCGATGTTATTCTGCCTCCCAATGCAGTGGGCATGTACCTTGACGTTAGTGACTGGGGAGATCGAAGCGGAAGGAAGCAATCGTACTTCCGCTTTGATAATATTTGCACGGAAAGTCAAACACTTTCCTTCGCTTCGGGCGATCTGCCACCGCAGCTTCACCGCAGAGCACAGCGAGTGTCTGTGCAACCTCAGCAATTTCATCGCGTTTTGCTTCGATGGAAGCAAGACGTGATGGAGCTGATTACCGATGGTGTCGGAGTTACCAGAATCCGACCTAGGGAGAGTTCACCGGCGCTCCCAGGTCCACTGGCCAAGCTTTTTTTGTGGGTGTACGTTCGGCGAAGACACGATGGCCGGGAAACCACTGCTGAAAGCCATGTGCAAGCTGGTGTGAGTATGAAAAAAGGCAGTGGGGCGGCACTAGACAGACCAGACACTACGACAAGTTCGCAAGGATATGTGCATTATTAGCATTAATTATGAAATATCATATGTTCAGGTTCCTGCAATCCGAAACGAGGCGCGCAGCTGGTATCATCGGTGCAAACATGCAAAACTTTTGTTTACAATCTCGAGTGTCCAGTCTGTGTTGGTTCCAGAAATGCCGCGAGGAACAATCTACTTCGCAAATTGTGTGAGCGGGACCGTCCTTAAATTTCATGCTCAAGAACCCCCTAATTATGAGCCCTATACACCAAAAATGGCCAAAGATCCCTGTACCCGAAATCTCCAACCCCCAGACCCAAAATCCGACGACCCCTGAGCCTTGAGTGCCACCTACCAAGACCCCCCAAGCACCCTATATGTAAAGGGTTCTAATATTTCTCATTGTATAAGAGGGAATTGGGGGCTACAATAAAGGGTAGTTGGGGGGTCTAGGTAAACCCGAAGCCTGAAGAGTACTGTATGTTTGTGTGTGTGTATATATATATATATATATATATTGTATATAGCTCGATATCATATCCACTTTAGATCCATCTAGTCTAACTATCACGGTCCCCTGCGGCACAGGCGTTTCTCATGACTTTCTTGAGAGGAGCTGTGGGATGTAGGTGTTTTAGGGTTATGAGTTTCGACCTTCAGCATTTCAGGGTTTCGGGATCTGCCGGTTTTGGGGTTTAGGATGGTTTGTGGGTTTATGATTTGGTTGTTTTCGGCTGGGGTCTTGGGCTACACAGAATACAGGATTGTACTAGTTGGGGTTTGTACAGCGGTCCCTGTATATCTCTCCAGTCGCAAGCGCTTTACCCAGGCTGACTCATGGTGGAACCAGTGGGGCAGCACGTTCCCTGGCCCAATTCTAATATTTCTCATCAAGAGGTAACTGGGGGCCACAATAAAGTGTAGTTGGGGGGTCTAGGTAGTCTCCTTAAGTGGCGAGGGTATCAGTGTGCAATGTAGTTCATGACGACGTCTAACAGCTCTACCAAGAAGGTGACTCACAACATTAGACATTGGGGTCAGAGACGCATCGTTATTGTAGGGCATGTGCCCCTGCATTCCAAAGTGTGCTGTGAAGCCAGAGTGCGCAACCATGTAAATTGAGCAAAAAGTGAAGAGGTAAGCGCGCCACCAGGTATCGAAATGCCGTGTGCAAGCGCAAAAGCAACCCGCGCTGAACATCCGAGTTTCCCACAGGTCAAAAAAATGGCCTCTGCCAGCCAGAAAGATGATTCTGTTTCGGTGAAAGTGTCGGTGGTGCTGGCGGTGGTGCGGTGGTGGTGCTGGTTTATGCTGGATCATGCTGGTGGTGCTGGTGGTGCGGATGGCGCTACTACCATACTACCAGCACTACGTGGTGGTGGTGACGGCCGCGCCGCTGCAAGCTGATATTGCTTGGCTACGGTTGTCGATTCCGATTCTGTTGTTTTGCGTTCCTTTATGTCTTGGTTGCCGTTTTTGTTGTGTGTCCTATCTTTGCGACTGTTGAGTGTGC